TTTGCCATTTCTAGTGAAGTGAATCAAGATGGTGCCCGTGTCCTGAACAACTGTCTGGGAGGCACCACAGTCCTTGTCATGACGGCCAGACCTGGCGTTGACCCCCGCTGATGTAACCGGCTGGTGGTGGAAGCCCCCCACCTCCGACCGCCACCTCCAGCACCTGCACCACAGCGCATAGAAGCGTGCTTGAGCTTTTGACACAAGCACGACACGCCTTCGCCCGCAAGTTCTGGTGAGACGGTCCATCGCGCATTCTGGAATCACTCTGCCATTGAAATTTTCCAAAGGAAGGACCATCAGTATTCTGCCCAGCACCGGATCCATGTGAGGACTCGTCATTTTCCGCCACCAGCTTCACGACAGTCCAAAGTGCTGACCAACAAACCTCCCCCCCAGCTACAGCTCGCGACTTACTCCTACGATACCCGACCGCTGCTGCAGTTCACCACGAGTTCGACCACCCGTTTTCCGACCGGTGGATCTTTCCACACTCTTGCCTTTCTCGTTTCTAGACCGACCATGCGATCATCCTCATGATGGAACCCCCCACAACCACACAAGAGCGACAGCTCTGCGAATTCCTCCGCGATCTGCCCGCCCGCCACAACTACCGCTATGAAGGGTCCGCCCCCACTGACCTCCTCGAGAGCCTCTTCTGGTCCCTGGCCGGCGGCGAGCGCTACATGGGCCTCCTCTTCCCCCAGGGCCGCCCCTCCCACGACATGAAGCTCCGCGATGCCCAGGGCGCCGTGGAGGGCGCCGAGTACACAGAAGCCGCCCGCGGCAAGCGATGCGGCCACATCTTCAAGCCCGGCGAGGCCTCGTACTCGTGCCGCACCTGCAGTACCGACGAGACGTGCGTGCTCTGCAGCCGCTGCTTCGACTCGACCGACCACCAGGGCCACATGGTCCGCATATCCATCTCCGTCGGCAACAGCGGCTGCTGCGACTGCGGAGACGACGAGGCCTGGCGCCGGCCCCTCTTCTGCACCATCCACTCCGAGAAGGCCACCGAGAGCCGTGAGGACAAGGGCAAGCAGCCCGTGGGACTGCCGGAGGACCTGGTGCAGAGCATGCAGATGACCATTGGCCGCGTCTTTGACTACATCTGCGACGTCATCTCCTGCTCGCCCGAGCAGCTGCGCCAGGCCAAGTCGGCCGAGACCATACGGCAAGACGAGCTCCTGTCGAGGCTGTCTCCCGAGGCATACGGAGAGGGGCCCATCGGCAACACCGAGTTTGCACTGGTGCTGTGGAACGACGAGAAGCACACGGTCGAGGACGTGCAGAAGCAGGTCGCCAGAGCGTGCCGGACCACCGAGGCCGTCGGCCTGACACGCGCCACCGAGACGGACTTTCTGGGACGGAGCATTCTCAACCACCTCGACGACCTCGATCGGCTGCTCGAGATGGCGAAGAAGCTGGAGGAGATCAAGGTCACGGTGACGATTCGCTCTTCGCGGGACACCTTCCGGGAGCAAATGTGCGGCACGCTCATCGACTGGTTGAGCGACATTTCTGGATGCAGTGTCGGAAACGACCACCACATTCTCCGGCAGCTCGTTTGCCAGGAGATGATGAAGCCGTGGCGCAAGGGCAGTCCTGGAACGCATGCTGTCGTTGGAAAGAGCGGCATCTACGACGAGGAGAAGCTGTTCAGGCAGGCTGAGATGCAGAGCGCCATGGCACACCACTTTGTCCTGCAGATGCTGCAGATGCGAGGCATTCCGGGCCAGCAGGACGATGATGATGACGACGGTGAGCTTACCGACGAAGACGACACAGACATGGGCCGCGAAGAAGGCGGGCCGCCGTCCAGCGATGGTGGCGACGGGGGCGATGACGATGTCATGATGGTTGATGTGAGGCCGGACCCTGGAGAAATGGGCATCGACTGGCGAGGGTCAGATCAGGCTTTGGAAGAAGACGAGGCCACCATGGCGGGGTATCCTCCACCGCCACCGCCCCCAGCTCAAGCCGCGCGCCGCGCGAATAGAGAGCGCGACAACACCCCCTCAGATTCCGACACGGCGGACCCTCTCATTGCCCCGGCTGTCTACGCCAAGGCGAATCTCGAGATCCCCAAGACGCCCGGCAACACAGAGAAAACGCAATCTCCCAAGCCAGGCAGGTATTGGCTGGAGACGCCTCCGGGATACATGGACCGCGGCGAGATGCCTCCTGCCGAAGACGTCTTCCAGAGGGTTCGTTTGGACTGGCTCATCCTGTTTGATCTGCGAATGTGGAAGAAGGTGAGGAACGACTTGAGGTCGCTCTACATCTCGACCGTTGTCTCGATACCCGAGTTCAAGCGCATCCTCGGCCTTCGATTTGCCGGGCTCTACACAACGCTGGCTCAGCTCTATCTCATTGGAGACCGAGAGCCAGACCACTCCATCATCAACCTATCCTTGCAGATGCTCACTACACCAAGTATCACTGCGGAAATTGTTGAACGGGGCAACTTCATGACCAGCCTTCTCGCCATTCTCTACACATTCCTCACGACCAGGCAGGTCGGCTACCCCTGGGACGTTTCCTCCAACGCGGTCCTGGCATTTGATTCTGGGTCAGTTACCAACAGGCGCATGTATCACTTCTACCTCGACTTGAAGTACCTCTTTGGGTCACCCCATGTGCAGGAGAAGTTGCGTTGTGAGGAACGTTACCTTCTTCAGTTCCTGGACCTGGTCAAGCTCCACCAGGGCATCGGCCCCAATGTTCGAGCGGTGGGTGAGCATGTCGAATACGAGACGGACAGCTGGATAACAGCGTCCTTGGTCACACGCGAGATCAACAGGCTGGCTAAACAGCTCGCCGATTCGTTCCGCAACGTTCCCGAGAACGAGGTCCAATACGTTGCGCGGGCTATCAGGCTGACCACCAAGACGGTTATCCTGAACTCGCTTGGCGCCGAACGTCACCGCTTCAAGCAGGCCGAGATCAAGGACGAAGTCAAGTTCAAGACGCTGGGCGACTTTGAGTTTGTCCACGAGTCAGCCAGGTACGATGTCGTTAAATTCACCGTTGAGGAAGACCCCATCAGTCTGCATCATGCCTTGCACTACACTCTGTCGTGGCTGATTGAGTGCGGCAAGTCGCTGCCCGCATCTAGCATGCGGGCGCTGCTGAGTTTCACCCCCCAGGACCTGCTGCTCCAGCCCAAGTCTATGGGTCGGAAGAGCACTGCAAGGCGTGACAATACTCCCGAGGACCATCTTATGGCTGTGATCGACTATCCGCTGCGAGTTTGTGCTTGGTTGGCTCAGATCAAGGCCAACATGTGGGTTCGCAACGGCATCAGTCTTCGACACCAAGCGGCGACGTATCGCGGAGTCAACCAGCGCGATGTGTCACACCACCGTGATATCTTCCTGCTACAGACCGCTATGGTAATCTGCGATCCGAATCGTGTGCTAACTGCCATTATCGACCGTTTTGGCATGGAGAAGTGGGTGAAGGGCCTTTTCGAGCAGAAGCCCAACGCGCAGGACGACAATCAGCATTTGGACGTTGTGGAAGACATGATCCATCTGCTGATTGTGTTGCTGAGCGATCGGACATCATTGATCACCGTCGAAGACGAGCCCAACCCAGGCACACTGGCCATTCGCCGCGACATTATCCACACGCTCTGCTTTAAGCCATTGTCGTTCAACGAGATCTCCAACAAGCTGCCGGAGAAGTTCCAGGAGCTCGAGGACTTCCACCGAATTTTGGATGAGATGACAACTTTCAAACCCCCTGAAGGTGTTTCTGATGTGGGCACGTTCGAGCTCAAAGACGAGTACCTTGAGTATCTCGACCCGTACATTGCCCATTACAACAAGAACCAGAGAGAAGAGTCAGAAACGGCCTACCGCAAAAAGATGGCCAGGAGGACAGGCAAGACCGTTGAGGAGATTGTCTACGAGCCGAAGCTACGCCCTATCCCCTCTGGCCTGTTCAAGGACCTCTCGGCGTTCACCGGCGCGGGCATGTTCGCGCAGACCATCTACTATTCGCTTCTGTATCCCCTGGTCGCCGCCAAGTTCACTCCGACGGTGCCGGGGACGCGCATCGAGACCTTCTTGCAGGTTGTCCTGCACTTGGTCCTCATCGCTGTATCAGAGGACCACACCAACGAGGACGACATGACTGAAGAGTCGTTGAAGTCTTTCATCTCCATCGCCTTGTCAAGGCCTGCCAGGAGCAATTTCCTGCCAGAGGCTCCCAATGCGAAGACGATTGTGGCCTTGTTAGACATGATGTCGACGAAAGAAGAGTTCAAAGCATGCCACCCCCGGATCGGCCTCATCCTCAAGCGAATGCGCCAGAAGCGGCCTCGCAGCTTTGAAAATGCCTACATGCGCCTGGGTGTTTCTGTCGATCGCATCGAGACCGCCTCTCCGGCGAACAATTCGGCGGAGGAAGAGCGTGAACGCAAGAAGAAGGCGGCGCTGAGTCGACAGGCCAAGGTCATGGCCCAGTTCCAGCAGCAGCAAAAGAGCTTCATGGACAACCAGGGCGATGTAGACTGGGGCTCTGATCTTGAAGATGATGACGCGCTGAAGCCGACCGAGGATCGTAAGAACACATGGAAATATCCAACGGGGACTTGCATCCTGTGTCAGGAAGACACTGATGACCGCCGGCTCTACGGCACCTTTGCCTTGTTCAACCAGAGCTCGATACTGAGACAAACCGATCTCCAGGACCCCGACTTTGTACGCGAGGCATTCCATACTCCTGCCAACCTTGATCGGTCTGCCGAAGACATTCGCCCGTTCGGTGTGGCGCACGAGAACCGCCAGGAGGTGACCAAGGTCAATGCGAACGGAGAGTCCTTCACTGCTGAGCGTCAAACTATTGGAAAAGGTTTCCCCGCGAAGCTGTCCCGACCCGGCCCTGTCTCCATCGGATGCGGCCACATGATGCACTTTAGTTGCTTCGAGACGTATGTCGAGGCGACCAACCGAAGACACCTTCACCAGATCGCGCGCCATCACCCGGAAGACCTGCGGCGGCGAGAGTTCGTCTGCCCTCTCTGCAAGGCCTTGGGCAATGCATTCCTTCCTGTCATTTGGAAGGGCCAAGAAGAATCTTACCCCAGCGTGCTTGACCAGGGCTCGCGATCTTTTGCCGACTTCCTTGAGACGGAAATGCGCAGTGCGTACTACGTCCGGGGGGCTACCCGGCCGCCTGACCAGCTCCAGTCCTCGTTCGCGAGATACACAAAGGACGCTATCACGACGGCGCTCGCAGACAAGGCAAGCCAGCTCTACGAAGAGGCATGGAGCACAGAAGACTCGTCCAGCGGCGAGCTGCCTCTTGTCACGCCACTGAGCTCTATGTTTTCGGCCATGAACACGCCCGTGACGTCTCGCCGCTCAACTTCTAACGACGCGGGCGGCCTCCTAGGCGAGCTCGTGCGGGTCTACCGTCGTCTGCGTGACGTCGTGCAGATGAACGGCTGCCAGACGAGGCATCCCGTTGACCCAAGGGAGATGCGGGAAAGGAATGAAATTGTCTACAGTGATGTGCTGGTGCGGGTTGTAGGCAATTCCATCTCGGCGACCGAAATCCAGCAGCGAGGTGTGGAGGCTCAAAGTGGTCTGACGCTTCTGGAGAAGATTCCGGAGCAGGTCTTGACGCACCTTCGAATCCTCTCCGAGACGACGACTTCGTACATTGCTGTAGGCGGCCTCAAGGCGCGCGGCGACAACCGCGTCGAGGAAGAATTCCGAAGAGACAGCGAGAGGCAGCACTGCCAATTGTTCATGTCGCAATATTTCGGAGAGGAGACAGACAACACTCGTCGTCCCGTCGACATTTATCCTCCGCTGATGAGCCAGGACAGCTTCCTCTTCTTTAACGAGTGTTGTTTTGGTCTCGTTCAGGCGCACGAGTACGACGTCAACCACATTCTCAAGCTTTGCTACCTCGCCGAGATTGTCAAGGTCGTCTATCACATGAGCAAGAACATTCCGTCCCACATCTGGGTCGGCTATCTGGTCAACTCCAAAAGAAGAGACGCGTCGCTCAAGCACTTTGCCGAGTTCTGTGT